AGCTCCGTAGTAGTGAAAGAAACTGCCTAACAACGATTTCAGGACTAATGACGGTATGGACGGAGCTTCTTTTAGTACCAGTGGGGAGAGTCTGTGGGTCCAACTGTTCTGGTCCGCAATAGCAATTCACTTTCTGTTGACCAATACGTAATTTGAGGGCGGAACCTGAGACAATAGATCCTCATAATTTACATCAATTAGCTTTGAGAGAAGGCGTAATTAGAATTATGATTAAAGAAACGGAGATGCAGCTCAGGTGATCCAAAAAACTCAACTCAGGCATTCCAGCCGTCAAAATGAATGACACAAAAAAAGTTTGTTGGACTGAAACAGCAGATGGGTTTGTAAAAACGGCCTTCATCTGGTAGTTATTGGAGCAGATTAATGTGTACTCTGATAGCGGTGCAAAAAAAGAACAATGCCAAGAAACATAATATACATTCCAGATTTTGGCATTTTGCGCAGCACTATGACAGCGCAAAAGCAAGACAATTGGCAAGCGAAACCTCATATGAAAGCCATATATATATATATATATATATATATATATATATATATATATATATATATATATATATATATAGCTATGGGTGGTGGTATATATGGCTCCGGTGGCTATCGGGTATAAAAACTTTCGCCACCGGAGCATGGCGACAAAAGATGTATCGAATATGATGTAGTTGCATCTTTATCGTAGACGCAGTGGGCACGGACTTTAATTCCTCCATGGAATTTGCGGAAACTAGTAAACAAAACACACTTCATGTGATCTTACCATAAGAATAGAAAATGCATTTCTCGTAAAGCTAGCAAAAAGGAAGAAATTGTAAAATGACGCGGTACCGTAGTCGTGAATCAGTTACACACGAGGGGAGTACAGTGAAACCTCAAACGGTCATTTGATTAAGTGGACACCTTAATTAACGGCTTTTTGTGAAACCAATTGTTTTTGTTTTTTTCTTAAGACGCATAAACATTTCCTTTTAAACGGTCCCCTGGCTCCGGGAAGAGACACATCGTAGATTAACCTTTAAGCAGTCGCTTCTAATGATCTTGAACTATATTAGAATATGAAGCGAAAAAGTTGTAATTACAACTGATTCAGAACCTTCCTACGACGGGACGCAATGTCATTACTTCGGGCAGTGAAATGTAATCATTTGTCACTCTCAACGTGCTTTGGGTAACAACAGGTTTTAATGCGTCTTGGTGAAATAAAGAGTTCGCTTCTTTCGTTTGCAGGATTCTCATGAAGTGATTGTGGTTAATTGTGTAGGATTTACGGAGCGCACTACGTGCACGAAAAACGATCTGAAGGTCATTCCCTCTCTCGACCAGACGGCCGAGCGTTCACAGTTTCCACAATATGCAAATTGCATCTTGAACTCGTTTCCTCTGTGTTCGATTTAGTGACGACAAAGTGCGTTTTTTCGACTAAGAGAATTGGTTACAGGTCAATGGTGAATGGCACATGGGGAAACGAAGCAAATTCTCTTAGATCCTTGCTTGTTGGGTTCTGAGGTTTAAAGTAATGCACATTAGACCTGATGAATGCTTCCAGTAATCACATAATCTTGATTAAGAGTCTAACTCTATGATCGGCAAATTTTTGCCGGAATCAATAATGACGGCTTAAGGAGACGTTTCACTGTTCGATGTGGACGAAATAGAATGTTACAACAGAACAAACAGGATAATTTAGAGATGGGCAAGAAAACCCAAAGCCACAGATGGTTGTGAAATACAAGATAAGAAGGAGACATTGATATTGCAAACACGTTTACTGCATGCCATTCTTCCCTAACCAAGACTGCCAGGTGGTACCATAATGTGGCCGATTCGCTCTTCGGTCCGAGAGTTGTAAATGTCTGACGTTTTCACCAATACGCGCTTCAGTTACAAAATAACAATAATATCGCGCGAAGTAGCTCAGTGCGTAGCGCCCTGGATTCGCAATCAGGAGGTCGGGGTTCGTTTCCCGGGCCGGCCATTCTGACCGGGGTTTTTCGCGTCATAAGGCGAATGCTGGGATGGTTCCAAATTCCCATTGTCACCTTCCAATAGGCGACCTACCATCATCATCCTAGTCCTTTCACCTATCAACACCCTCCCTTTAATCCTAATCCTAATAATAATACAATTTCGGCCCCATGGCGCAAACGGTTGCGGCAGCCAGCGTCTGCGCCGAGGAGGCTGCAGATTCGAGTCCTGCCTAGACATGGTCGTATTTGTGATTGTCCCTTCACCCCTCATCATTATATCTCATAATTCGCATTTCAAGGCGTAACAACTTTGTCGTACTAAGAAATAGTTGAAAATTGTGACCACAACCGTGTAGCGTGGTCAGCAATGGCCTATTCGCCAATCGCCCCCCCCCCCGTGCTTGGAGAGGGGAAATATCCGTAACTACCTGCTGGGAGGATACTGTTGACATGCTAGTCAAAAGAACAAACCTTTCTCAAGACTACATCCAAGAAAAATATCAAATATGATAAAGTAATATTCATTATTTAGTGTACATTGAATATTTTCTTTTTTGGAACCGCGCGACGACGTTACTGCCGCCGCTACAATCTAAAGAGGCAGAGTTAAGGCCAACAACATGGCACCATGAATGACAAGATGCTTGACTTGTCTAGACATCCCATATTTGTGTGCTGTTTTGGATCAATCCAAAGAAATTAATAATATCCAGAAAATCTACCAATTTCTCAATTCAGCTATACTTATTCAAACCTTTGAAATCCTCCACTAAAGAGTAGATCCATATATGCACACTGGCGGTTAATTACAAACTGAAAAACGAACTGGGGTTCCATATAGCAGTATGCATGATTATATAACCCAAAACACAGGGTTTGATATTTGTAATTATTACCACATATTTCTCAGATCATTATCGAAGAATTTATAACTTTGTCAAATCATGGTAGTTTCAGAAAATTGTCTTAACAGCAGTTGTTTTAAGGCCAGGGAATGTGATCTTCCCACAAGCTTGCTCTTACAAACACACAAAGAAATAAACACTGCCCATCAGCATCATCAACAACAAAAAGTCTAAATAAAACTGCTAGATTGATGCTTCTGAGAACTCTACAGCCAATTAAAGCAAATTCGATAGTGTTGTAGGGTATAACTCTCTGTTTTCATGCTATGGTAACACAACTGGCGCTTTGCAATGAGTCTTTTTAAGTCAAATTTTATCTCTAAAAACCCCAATGTTTGATTCTGAATATGTTAATGTCTATAAATAATAAAAGAAAGTATTAATAACAAATACTGAAAATAAAAAAAAAATATTATTAAATATGGTTAACCCAATTCAAAATAACATTTGTTTTTCAACTCCCATTTTCTTCCACGTTTTCCCCATTCAATAATTTTAGTTCTGACCTATGATGCTGTGGTCCCCACTTCCTTAATCCTTCCAGGCCCCCATTATTTAATTTTCATAAGCAATCATGTTTTTTATTCAAATTCAATGCTGCCTATTTCTAAGTAAAAATATATTAAGTATTTTAATGAATTTAGTTCAATCCAAAACTGTTCACAGATCTATACTGCCTTCCTTGTTTCCAGTAGTTTCATATCAGTTAAATGAAAACAGGTAATAGGAGTATTTACTTCTATCCATGATAAAAGTACCTGATCTTGTCTTGAATTTATTTAACTAATGAAAACACTGTTTCATATTACAATTGTTTGATTGAAACAAAATGGATCTTTGCAAGAACATTAACAATTTTTAAATAAAAAGCATGTGTCGCCTTCAATAAAACCATATATGAAACAAATGTAATAATTCTATATTTTGTGTCTAAGTAGACAACTAAAAAGCCTACATTGAATACAAAATATCACTACATTATGTTAATTGTTAAAGGCAATAAAGGACAGCTGTTGCAATTTACCATGTAATTTAAGTAAGAAATAAATGAAACCAATAATATTAAGCAATATTCTTCAGTGTGGCCTCCACTTATTTTCTTATTGATCATTGTTAAAGGTAAGTATGATGAGTGATCATGAAGAAACAATGAATGAAGCAGATATTTAAAGACCTAGCGATAAAAAAATAAGATGTAAAATACCTTCTTCACTAGCACCTACATTTATCACATATGCAAAATAAACTACTATTGAATACTATTACCACTATTTCTGCAGCTTCTACTAAAAGAGTTATAACAATTGTCACTGACCATATTTTCAAGCATCAAAGCTAAAACATTTCAATTAAATTTTAGACAAATTCTTCTCTCAAATTGCGTTATAAAAATGTGTATGAACACCATAATTACATTCTTGGAGTTAAATTGTTACATAAACAGCTTCTAATCAAAACTAGTCTCTCTCATCAAACATATAAAATTAACATTTACTTTCATCGCAATTTTCAAACAATTTCTCTCCTAAAGGCTGCCACACTGCTCTGTACATTACACTGTAATGTAACATTTATGTAGCTACCTACATCACATTTCATAAACACAGAGTATGCTACATTTCATAGATGTAACCAATAATGCTTAATGCAATGTGAATAAGCATCTCATGTCATTAATACATTACATCAATATTACTATATATATTTACAGATTGTTCTTGAAATGTCGTGTAACAAGAAAATCACACAAAGGTTCAGCAGCACATACCATGACCTATTAAAAGAACGTGGAAAACAATCCCCCTCCAATAGTTCATAAGAATACGGAACAATGCAAATAATAAGCAATGAACTTTCTTAGATCATGGTAATTTGTTACCCTGGATGTCAGCCTACAATTTCTACACATCATTCAATCTATTTTTTGTTTTTCGAATTCCAAATTCAATATTTCAATCACGCTCCTCCAAAAATAACAAACAAAATGAATAAGGTAACTGGATCTCGGGATAACGAAGTACCACAATTTATACCATGCTATTGACGGAAACCTAATACAAGAAAAATAAATCCGCATTCTTCAAAATTGATTGCTGCAGGGGAATGTTGTTACCTTGCGTAAAACCGCAAAAGGCGAAGTATTTAATGCGGAAGATTTCCGTAACCACAAACGCAGAGCCATTTTGAACACGGGTAAGAGCAGAGAACACTACAATATGGGTGTCTGAACTTGCATGCCGTGAAATGCACGTATCAGGCTGACTCCAGTCCCTTAATGTACAGGCAGCGCCCCTGTGGCACATAAGTAGAAATAATCATGAACACGATTACGTTTTCAAAAATCTTTTGTAATAGTGAAAGACACGCATATTTTAAAATGACAACTTATTATTATGAGTATTAAGTACACAGAAATAGCTAATATAAAGATAATCGTCACTGGATTTAAATATTGCATACACACACAAAATTATTATAATTATTCTATGCCTTCAATTATATCGGCAGCGCTCTCATCTGTCTCCTTTAAAACTAAAGGTCGCCCAAAACTTGTGCTCGCGTGCAGCGAAAGTAACGACACCACAGGTATATAGTATTCAGTACGTAGTATTCTATATATCAGTGAACGACACCCTGCACCACGGAGTGCAGAGACTGCAGACACGTCTGTGACTTATACTCACAGTGCCTGCAGACATGTCCAGAAAACGTGACTTAACAGTGACAGACCTCGTGAGAGCAGCGCTAAGATGGAATTACGCCATCATGGTGTTATTTCCACCATGAAGAGCACTGTCGCCTCTGGGTGGAAAGTGCAAAAAGTCTGCAAAAAATTCCTCCCCCGGCTCCTGGTAAAACGGGACCTATTTTTAGGGGATATTTTATTATTTATAGCTATTAATACATCTAGAAATGTTATGCCGATGACTGCCGATGCCAGAAGTTGGATGAGGCAGTAATAACACTGTAACATATCATGGTATGTTCAGCGTTTTATCGGTCACCACTTTTTTTTTTTTTTTTTTTTTTTTTTTTTTTTTTTTTTTTTTTTTTTTTTGGAGAAAATTTACATTACTGCGTTATGAATCACCTGAATTCTCTTGTTGCGACACGATAATCGATATTGTTGGGTACTGCATGCGATATATCTATTCAAACACTATTCGTATGCCGTGATTTGAGAAATTATGGATGCAAATAATTCTCCTGAACCTAAAAATACTTAAAGAAATGATGGTGAATGAGGAAGTTGGCACGTCGAATTCCGATGGCGACACCTTCAGATTATCAGTAAATATGATTACGAGAGAAGAGTTTAATTTGGTGGAATTCCACGAAAATGAGGTTAATTTACTACACATTTTTTAATTACACTAATAATATTACAATTAACAATAAATATCCAAAAAACTTCTACGAGCTACTTGTATTGTTTGAATCTAGTTTGTTTTGTACTTCGCCATGTTTTTTTCTTAATAAACATTTGACTTGCAATTCATCGATAGTTGTTTATTTACGTTGCTAAACGTTGTTTACGTTTATTTATAACGCTTAAAACCCGTTGCTAAGGATTTTAAACGTCTTAACCTACAGGTAGGTACTTAACAAACTTATAGGGTCGCATGTTAACAAGGGTTAAAGACGCATGTGACCGATAAAAGTACTAACACTACTTGTGTTTCCAATATAGTTTCATAAAGGGGGCCGCGAATAAAATTTTTGTGGGCGGGCATGCACTTATTTCGTTACGCTACTGAGTTCACTCATTGTGAATATCTGGTAACGCCATGGTAATTTTATACGCGTATAAATTATAGTTTCGGGCTTACAACGGCAAGATGCTCTTTTCGATAAGCCAGATGAGATCCGTTGTTAGTAAATTATAATTTTAAACAATTAGTTACCTCTTTATCTCTGCCCATCTGAAGTTAAGGTATCTACAGCAGATATTGAATGTTAATCAAATTTAAATCGACTATTTAAATATTTAATAAAGCAACATTTTGCAAGTGTTTTTTCTTCTTATTTTAAATTAATAATTTAATTTATATTCCAGAATTTACAATACCCGATCTATCTGGCCGTACTCGAAGCCCTGCGAGTTTCCAATGGATATTTTGATTTTGAGTGTATTTTTCATTAATACTCATCATTTTCAAAATTTTCTCAAAACATGGCTTCAATTGTTTTATTATTTTTTTCACGCATAGAGCAAAAAACGTGAAAATGGCGCATTTTCGTTTATTTCTCTGAAATTTAATTGCAAAAAAGCAAAATTTTAACTTTATTCTTGCTACAACTACACGTACAATATTAAAAATCTCTAACTCCAATATTGAAGATAAAGATTTTTCAAGAATGAAATCTATTCTTCAAAGACAACTCTCAAAATAAAATTTTGTAACTTTTCCAAAAATATTAATAGCTTGCCATAATTTTGCGTGAATCATAAGCAATTTTAAAACAATTATCAAAAAGCTCCAACTTTTTTTTGTTCAACGAACTGTTATAAAAATAGCGTAGGTCCCATTTTCGGTAAGCTCTGTATTTTAGAAAGTTGCAAAACTACAATATTGACGATAGACATTTTTCCGTAAAGAAACCCGTTATAAAAATTTAGATCTTTAAAAAAGGCGATATACAATTTTTTGTAAACACGAATAGATTTTTTGACATTTTTGAATGAAAAAATACAATTAAATATATTTTCTCATAAGCAGTCTGAATTTTGAAAGTTCATTCAATAGAGCAAAGTACTCTTAAAAAATGGGGCAGGGTCTGTTTGGGTCAAATTCTGAATTTTCGATAATGGCAAAAAATTAACATTGCAAATTTACAATATTGATGATAGAGGTTTTTTACTTAATAAAACTTCTTCAAATTTAAATCTTTAAATAAGGTTATCAATTTTTATGAAAATATGAATAGTATTGCTTAATATTTGCTTATAAAAATTGCAAATTCGAATTTCCCGCGCGTTTTGTGAAAGTGTTTCACAATGGCATTATTTTCACCACGTTTATCACGAGATATCAGGGTGTAAAATGACAATGGAAACTCCGCAACACGGCAATTTACACTTCATAAACTTATTTTTTATTGTTGAACGATGTTTCTCGCAGTATGGAATGCAACTAAGGATTGTCGTATTTGTGTTGATGAATTAGCTTTACAAGAATTAGTTTTCCCACCTCATGCGTTACGATCGAAAATGAGTTTTACAAGTGATGTCAGACATGTTAATATGTCCCGAAATTAGGAATTAAATCATTAGTAATGCGAGAAAGAAGGTGCTGCTTAATCCCCAATAGTTAACCTTGAAGCTCTTCTTAATAAAAAGAATGAGACTTTCCAGACATAATTTAAATAAATTAAAATAAAAGTAATATACTCGATATAACAGCTATTAAAAGAATGTAAAAGCGCAGGTATATGCAGAATTTTGTTTTAAAAAATCAAAGGTATTCATTTGATTCGAAGTTTGGAATCGAATATTGATTCTCTAGGTATCGAAAGAAAATAATCTATTCCGGAATCGAATCGGAACGTCTCTAATCCAAGGAGGTTATAATAAATTATAAATCATGAAAATAGTATCGTTAGAACAAAATGGACAAAACTGAGTTTCTGCTTTAAAGAGAGAAAAGTTATTTCAAGTCAATTGTGGCCACTTATATGTACTACCATATTCGTAATGCACAGTTCAAATGTCTAAACATCTAAAAGTTTTCCTGTCATTCTCAAATGATTCACCCGTAAATGTATGCATATTTTCCACATTTCTGCAATAATATAAACAACCCGCTAAAAATCATAACTTTCACGATAAATAAGTTATCATTTGCATTGCCTGAACGTATTTCACGATCACAGCTTCATAATATGGATGACCCACTATTATTTTGTGTATTTTCAAGACTTTCTTTGTGAAAACGTTAAACCCAAATATTACGTAGCTCACCAAATCAACTATTTACTTCTGCCACTAGTTATCAAACTATATGTACTATTTGAATCGAAACAAATACCTCAACTTTTATTAAAACTTGGCGAGCAAAAGTTCTTGGCGGCGAGATCAGGCGCGCAGATACTGTGGTTCCAATAATGCCAGTTCCGTCACGACCATTATCGAGATCAAACGATACGCGTGTTATCGGGGTGCGCCAACCGCCACAAATAAATGCCGGAGACGCCACCGGATCTCTCGCCAACATTTATCGCTCATACTCGAGGCGGTCAGGCGGCATTTGTACGTTGACCAATACTAGCAATCTAGCGGAACTTGTAGTTTTTGTAGATAGCCTCAATATATTTCGGTAAACTGGCCAGTTCTTGATAATAATAAGACGTTTCAATAACTTAAATCTTTGCACATTATTGCTTTCTCCTCTATTTAATTTCACTTACCTTCATTTTAAACTTTTAATCTTCATTTCATGCTAAAATAGGAATTGGTGAGCCTGATCACTCGATCTCAGCGCACTCGATGAATATATAAATACTTCCATACCTCTGGGGATTAAATTCATTAGCCCGTTTCATGTACACACATACAGTGCACCAGGAAAGTCTCTGCAATGTCATCTTGTTGGTGAGAGTGTTAGCAACAGAAATTATGTTGGTTGCAAGATTGTAACAAATGAAAATGTAAATCATGTACTCACCACCATAGAGGAGAGATACAACTATATCTCTACTCTATGCTCACCACAATCGTAACACATGCTGGAAGTATTGTCCCTTTCATTTGTTTCCAAGTGATCTCTTTGCTACCAACATAAATTAAATTTATAGCCCTGACTCGGTGCGGAGAGACCTTTCTTGGTGCACGCTATTTTTAGTGTGGCAAATGTCACGAGTCCTTTAAACTCCTTCAACACAATTTATTTCTCTTTCAGTTGATAGGGTACGCCCTACGACGACAAAATTAAATTCGAACGCACAAAGCGTTGCTAACCTTTGCATGGTTGTGAAATTAAAACTGCGAATGCTAACAAAGGATGCCATTTTTAAGATTCAATTATTTCGGAAACACAATACTTGTGAGAGATTTCAGTTCACTTTCAACTAATATCGTATATTTGGCTCTAGCACTTTACGAAGAAAATATTTCAAAAACCAAAAAATAATTATCACACAAAGAATACCAAGATGAATTTACAAAAATGCGCAAAATGAAATTTCTTTTATAAAATAATACTAACAAATGGAATTAAATTCTAACATTTCTAAACTAAACTGTAAATTTACTAAACTAAAAACGTATATAAAGTAATGACAGTAGTTCTTTAAATTTATTTTAACCACCTAATTTACTATTGTAAATCATTAAGAGATCATTCACTTGATCGGAATCAATGGAACTTCTTCGATCTGTTACAATGAGTCCTGCTCTACTAAAATTTCTTTCACTTGCCGCACTACTAGCGGGGATGAGTAGTATTTGCTTTGCTACTTCTGTTAACTTTGGCATCGAAGAAGAATGTGTCTTCCACCACAGTAACAAATTTTCAATATCGGCAGGTGCATCCATGTTCAAGTACGTTTCTAGTTCATCTCTCAACAGATTGGAAGAATGCCATTCTTTGGACTTTATGGCTGAGGACTGTTTAGAAATTTCTGGCTAAACAGGAATTTTCACTTTCTCACACATTC